GAATGGCCCCAACCTGCTCTACCACTGCCTGCCCCAGCTCAGTAAATGGCTCCACTGTCCCCCAGCTTCTCAGGCCAAAACCCTGGGGACATCTTTGATTCCATACATTCCTGCACTGCTACATCCCTTCCATCAGCAAGTCCTGCCGATGTGTATTCCTGTTCCTAATGTTTACTGAGCTCTTCCTATAAATCAGGTGCTTCCAAGGCCCTCACCACTTTCCCTACTGAAATCTCCATCACAGCCAGGTCTCCTGCCAGCCCTTTCCTCAATTTTTTATTTTATTTATTTTTTGTGTGTGTGTGGTTGGCTGGTACGGGGATCTGTACTGGTGACCCTGGTGTTATAAGGCTTTGCTCTAACCAACTGAGCTAACCAGCCAGCCCTCACAATAGGTTATTGTAGGAGTTTCCTTGCTTGCCTTAGGCTGCTTCCCAGTAGACAGTAGAGTCTGTGGGGACAGGCGCGTGTCTGTGTTCACCCTCATGTCCCCTGCTTCTAAAACAGTGCCTGGCACTCCATAAATTCCTATTGGATAAATGACTGATTGATCAGCCCAGGCCTATCCTTGGCCCTAACATGAACCTTTCCTAGTTTGTCCTGGGGTCTCACTGATCCACCCTCTGTCTTTGGAGTTCCTTTGTCCAGAAGCCATTGACCCAGGAGACGGGAGCACCATGTCTGTGCCTGTCACTATGCGGCAGTGCGATAAATGCTGCATGCAAGTACAATGTCTCCAGTGCCTTTCAGGGGTTTCCACACATCCCACCTGTGCAGCTGTGTCTGTGAGTCAAGCTGTGAGGCTTCTAGAGTTAAGTTGTACCTCCGCTATTTCTCTGGCATTTTCAAGGCCTCCTATGGGTCATCATAGAATCTCCCTGTGTCCGTGTGTGTGCATGGGCTGTACCTGACCATGTGAGTCTCTGGGCAGGTATGTCTTCTTGGACATTCATCAGGCTGTGCCAGGCACTGACCCAAGTGCTTTACAAGCATTGTCCCGTGTGATTCTCACAACTCCATCAAGCAAGCATTGCTAACTCGGCTCCATCCTGCAGGTTAGGAAGTGAGGCACAGAGAGGTTACGCGACTTGCCCATGGTCACACAGCTTGGAAGAGATGGAGGCCAGCTTGAGCCACCATGCATAGTCCTAAGCCACTGTGGTATTCAGCTAGGGCTGAATCTATGTGTGGGTGTGTATGTGTCTGTCTGAGGGCTGTCCTGTCTGTCTCTGAGTGCTCCTTCTATGTGTGTGTGTGTGTCTGAGGGCTGTCCTGGCTTTGTCTCTGAGTATCACTCTATGTGTGTCTGTTGTCTGGAGATTGTACTGTGTCTGAATGCTCCCTGTGTGTGTGTCCATCTGTCTGGAGGCTGTCCTGTCTGTCTCTGAGTGTCCCTCCGTGTGTGTGTCTGGGAGCTGTCCAGTCAGTGTCTCTGAGAGCTCCTTCTGTGTGTGTGTCTGGGAGCTGTCCCATCTGTGTCTCTGAGTGCTCCCTCTGTGTGTGTGTGCCTGTCTGTCTGGGTGCTGTCCTGTCTGTGTCTCTGAGTGTCCCTCCGTGTGTGTGTCTGGGAGCTGTCCAGTCAGTGTCTCTGAGAGCTCCCTGTGTGTGTGTGTCTGAAGGCTGTCCTGTTTGTCTCTGAGTGTCCCTCTGTGTGTGTCTCGGGGCTGTCCAGTCAGTGTGTCTGAATGCTCCCTCTGTGTGTGTGTGCCTGTCTGTCTGGGGGCTGGCCTGTCTGTCTCTTAGCGTCCCTCTGTGTTTGNCCTCCCCGCCTCCTCCACGGGCCGCCCTGGGACAGGAAACTCCCCGGCGCTGGTGCAAGAGGCGCCTGGGGGCCGCGGTGGAGGCGCGGGAGACCGCCCCCCACGGATGTCCAGGTGCGGGGAGGAGCTGTGGAGGCCGCTGCATCCTGGGGCCCTGGGGCCTCTGGACAGTCGCCCCTCTTGGCTGAGTGATGAAGCGGCTTGGGGAAGCCGGGTCTTCTGAGTCCCTGGGTGAGAGTGTCCTGGAGCACAAAGGAGCCTTGTAAAATCCCCGGCCTCAGGAGCCCGGAGGAAGCCTGTCAGCCCCTAGCCGGGGCCAAGGACCACACCCTCCAGGTTACCTCTCCCGGGCCAGGGGTCCCAGGAGCACCCTTTCCAGAGTCTAATAAATCTCACCTGCTGCGAATGGGGCCAGTAGACCTCTCCGATCCAGAAGGGTGTCCATGTCAGCCACTCAGACTCCAGACCTCAGCAGAGGGCCCATCGAGGCCTGGGCTTTCTGCAGTCTGGATCTTTCGCTCCCCATCTCTCCCCGGAGCAGATTCTCACACACGCCGGCCCCAGCCTAGCAGAGGACAGGGGCTCCTGGCCACGGGGGAACCACAGACGGAGGAGGCAGCGCCCTGGGCTGCTGCCAGGTTGTCAGCAGGAAGCCAAGGACTTCCGCAGGAAACAAGAAGTTCCCAGATGGCTCTGACTCCAGCCCTCCACTCTGCAGTGCTGGTGGCATTGCCCCAGGGCTGTGAACTCAGACCTGGTTCAAGTTCAGTTTTGGCCACTCGTAGCTGTGTGTCTTTGCATATGTTAATTGACCTCTCTGGGACTCTTTTTTTTTTTTCCTTTTTGTCTTTTTTTTTTTTTTTTCGTGACCAGCAACGGATCGCAACCCTCAGTGTCGCGCCCGTACCGGACCGGGACCGGCAACGGGATCGCAACCCTCGGTGTTGCTCCCACGCCTCGCTCAGCCAGTGAGCAGCCGGTCTATATGTGGGATCCGAACCCTCGGCGGGAGCGCCGCACTTCCCAAGCGCGCACTGTAGCAGTGCGCCACCGGGCCGGCCCCTCTGGGACTCATTTTAAATGGGGATCCTAATCTGCTTTTCAGGATGTGGCTGTGAGGATGAACTAAAAGGAATGTGCTCATTCACACGCACTCATTTCCAGCTTCTGCCCTTTCAAGCTGTATGACCCTAGACGAGAGACTTCACAGCTCTGTCTCTCAGTTTCCCCAACTGTAAAGTGGGAACAATACTAGTCCTTCCCTCCCTCAGAGGTTTGTGTGTGAGGAATCGTGAGTAGCATGCTGAAGGGCTTCCCGTACTCCATCGTAAGCGCTGAGTGTTGCTTGTTATTCAGAAGAACAAAAGCAGCCATCATGAAAGTGTCCTGGACAGCCTGTGTGCGCCTGCTCTGGGCTGGGCTGAGCTGGGAGACTCAGACACTCCTGTGACAGCCAAGGGGAGACTGAGATATGAACAGAGATATACAAGCTCACTGAAGTGTTTTGGCAGTTGTCCTGAAGGAGAGGGTGCCCTGGGCTTGACCCTTGCCAGGACACTAGAAATTTCCACAGATGTGATTTCCTCCCTCAAGCTCCTTTCTCCTCCTCTTTCCCAAGGATGACTGGAAAAGTGTCCTTATGAAAAGGTGGGCGTGTGATAGATACAAGGAAGAACTTCCCAGAGGGAAGGCTGTTTAGATCCTGGGGGTCCCTGGACAGGGCCCTTTGAGAAGAGGCTGGAGCCTCTGCACCTCACAGCAGATGGAACCGGGGACAGATGGACACTTGACTCCTAGCACTGTTGCCTCCATGCTCTGTTACGTGAGATGTGGGTGCATACATTCATTCATTCATTCACTCATTCAGTGTTTCCTGACTCCCGGGCATGTGGCCAGCACTGTGAGCAGCGATGGGAGAGGGTGGGCAGAGAGGACTTTGTAGTAAGGCAGGCCCTTCTGCAGTCTTGAGACAAGTGCGTGGGCAAGCTGCCTTAGAGGCTCAGTGTCCTCATTTGTAAAACAGGGTAAGAGAGCCCACCCTGCAGGCTGTGCAGGATCAGATTGGCGTGAGCAGTGGCCCTTTGCTCCGCTCAGTGTCAGAACAGTCTTCTTGCCCCTCTGCAGTTGAGGGTTTCAAGGCCTGGGGAGGAACTGTTGAGTGGGCCCAGGGGCGCAGTGGCCCAGCTGCAGGTTTTAGACAGGGTGATGGGAAAGGAGAGGAGAGCCTGAGAAATGGGTCCGAGCAGAAGCCCCCCTCCCCGGCAGGGGAGCAGACAACCGCACACCTGTGTAGGCCAACGCCTCAGGTCGCCACACTTCCCCTGGCGACCGGCTGCTTTGGGATCATCATCCCAGAGATGGGAAATGGAAGCCCAGAGAAGCAAAGGCACTTGCCTTATGAAACACAGCTTGCGTGGAAAGAGGCTGGAGCACAATTCATGATGGAGATGATGATGATGATGTGTGTGGCCTTTGGGCAGCTTACTTCACCTCTCTGGGCCTCAGTTTCCCAATCTGTAAAATAGGAGTAAGAGTAGCATACGCTTCCCAGAGTCACAGTGAGGAATAAATGGAGCAGCGCCTGGCCTGTGGTACCCCCTGTCGCTCTTTCTCTGTACGCCACAGAAGCATCCCAGGAACAGAAGATCAGAGACTAAAGGGCAGAGACTCCCCACCCTGCCCTGCTTCAGGGAGCTGGTCTCCAGGGCCAATGAAGGGCTCTGGCAGAAAACACAGCTGGGACTCCAGTGGCAACTGGGACTGCCAGCCTTTTTTTTTTTTTTTTTTTTTTTAAAAGATGACCAGTAAG